TAATGGAAAAATTGGTATCACTTATTTTTAATTTTTTTGAACGGAGACTACTCTGAAATTATTCAATACTATTTATAAGAGCTAGTATTTAGTGAAACTTAATAACATTTCGAGCGAAATGGATTGCAATTTGTATGTATACACTGTTTGGTTGCTTTGCAGATGTGTGGTGCACACACCAACGAAGACTTGTAGTGCAACTATACCGTCCCTGCAGACCCTGACTCGTTGCGCCGAAGCTATTGGACCTAGATATTAGTCCGGGAATAGAAAGTTAAACAATGCATTAAGGCGTACCTTATCATTGGTTATTAGCCTTGGCACTTAGATGATCTATTGTCAGTACCGGAATGTGTCTTTAAATCTTTATACTCTCATTAAGATTACAATTATCAAAAACTTTCAGGTACAAGCGACAGATCATTTCAGTTCCGGCCATAATATTTTACATAGAACTATTTGCAGTATACCTAAAGTTATGCTCTACGCTAGTCCCGAGCGACACATATCTCACGACAGAAACTTTGTAAAGCTTTCCCGCATACCTTTCCAGCGCTTTTTGAATATTGTTCTACTACACTTAACAAGGCACGAAATGAAGAGGCACGGTCAGCCTGTCTAAATTTGAGAACATTAAGGACATCCAAAATACGAAGGTTAAGCTCAGATCCCTAGTCATACTAAATCTTCTCCGACACTGTACGAAAACTGTCGGCGCTGGATTCAGCGCGACGATAGTTTTCCGCCAAATTAAACAAAGGAGCTTACGATTTTATTAATTTCTTTTCTCCGTAAATAGACTAACGGTATCTTACCGATTTTAATCTAATCTTACACTATTATTATGTCCTGCGTGTCCTTACAGCAGCGACTTTGAGAAATAGCTTTTCCTCTATGCACGTCCGCATAAAATTTACAGAAATATGTATCACCAGCGGATATGTTTTGTTCCTGACTGAAGGACTGGTGTAAGGCAGCCCGAAGGGTATGCTCTGGCAAAGCCCTTCTTGACCAAAGGAAGCCGGTAATGTTTAGTTTTCATTTTTTGGGTATTCATAAAAGCAAGGCTAAAAATTCATGTAATTTTGTACCTGAAAAATTCCGAAAAAACTGAAAAGGTCCAAAAGAAACTACTAGAAAAGAGACTGAGAAGTCTCGAACAATCCCAAAAGAAACCGAAAAACTTTCGGAAAAATATCCGAACACTTCTAAAATTTCCAAAAATACCTACAACGCGAAAAATTACGAAAACATATCAGATATAGTTTGCCTTTTTTACTTAAATAAAACTCAAAGAAAAAATATTCGGTATTTCTTGACAACCACCGAGAAATTCCGGAAGATAGCGAAAAAATTGCAAAAACGCGTTTAAGGCCGAAAAAATCTAAAAAGCTTAAATGCTCCAAAAGCAAAAGTCACGACAAGGTTTCGAAAAAGTAAAAAAATCCCGCAAAAATCCGAAAAGTCCCGAAAAATTTGTACGAAACTTCCGAAATTAATCTTCCTCCAATCAGTAGACAGGTAAATTTGCTGAAAAAATAACTGGCAAATTTTTTTTATTTATGATACCTTCGAAAAATCAAAACAATATGTACGCTATGTATGTGCATTAGGGTGCATCACTCTCTATACAAAAAAGTTACTGTTTTTCCCTCGGAATTATAAAATCTATTATATTCTAACCCCGAAATTCTTAAAAAATAAAAAAGACTTTAACTGCTTTATAAATAGAGAATTTGTATGAAAATGTCACTTTATAAAGCTCTTTAAACCTATTTTATTTTTTATGAATAAGGCCTTAAGACTTTCGTAAAAATATTTCGGAAAATATTATTTACGATTTACGTGAGCTTTCAAAATAACCCCAAAAATCCAGTTCTTTAGTTAGTTTTTAAAAATAAATATGTAATCTTTCCAAAAGATCGATTTAGATGATAGAAAAGTATAAGCTTAAAAGGTCTGCATAAACATGTTTAAAAACTTAATCAACGGAATCAAAATAATGAGATTATTGATGCTATTTTAAAGTCGGCGCAGCTCACACACGAATCTTAATATTTCCCCGAAATATTTTGGCGGAAGTCTTAAAATATATAAAATTGTATAATTCACACATACAAAAAACACAATTTTTGTTTTAGTGGAACACACTAATGTACATACATATGATGTGAGAGTGATAGTCACAACGGACCTACGGCTGCGGTCTGAAAAAAAGTTTCATTACCAATTCTTATAGTATGTGGATGCTATGCTCTTTTTAGTTGCATTACTTTTCTCACAAACTCCATTCAAATATGGATATATTTTGACAAAAACGGTGCAAATCAAATTCACTTGTTACCATCAAAATCGTTTTTCTCCAAAACTTGTTTTCGAACCATAGATCCCTTTCAACTTTTACTTTTGCCACATTTGCATTTTTTATATAAAAACTTAAAAATATGTACATATATTCCCTAACAATCTCCGCTCAAAAGTCACCCCAAGCGAACTGATCCCAATCTAACCACTTTTGTTACCACTTCAAATACACTTACTGCAAATATATAACTCTCTTCTAGTTCATTAATACTTTTAAACACTTGCAGTCAATGCACACTTCCGCATATGGCAACTCAACATAAAAAAATTAAACAAATATTTATTTTCATACAACAATTATAAAAACATTTACAACAAAAGCAGCAAAAATGCAGGCAACAACCAAGATACATGTGTAATTACTGTGCACGGTGCACCCAGGGTGACAAAAATGTGCTAATTGACCATTAGACGAGGCGAGCAATGACACGTTATGAGTGCATATGCACGTAGTTGTGTGTGTGTTGAGTGTATATACATACATATGTACAATGGAATGTGTGCAATTTACGCGATGCGATTGCAGTACAAATGGCGCTTATGCGACTAGGTGCACCCGACGTGACACTCGACAGATGGATGGTTGGAAGGTGGGGGATGGAGATACAATAAATGCACATACATATGTATCCATAAATGTGGGTATGTATATATGTATTTTTATTAATGTGCGAAAAACATTGAAAATTGATATTAATGTAGTTTATAAGGGGAACTACACCAACAAAAAATGTGTTATGGAAACTTGTGTGAGCGGATATATATTTAATTTATAAAAAAATGGTCCTCCGCAATAACGACACAACTCAAAACGCCTTACTATTGAACGCTAGCAAATGTCTGTAATCTTTGTCTAATGCTTGTCTGTTCTTTACTAAATCTTTATGACTGCTTTATAAAGGCTTAGTAAGGATTAGATAGGGGCTAGCGTTTTAGCAACTTTTGCCTATTCTTCTTTGTTTAAAACCTCTTTATTATTTTTTTATGAAAATATAGCTCAGTATCTCAAACAAAACCAGATAAATCTGAACTTCAAACCTTGTAGAACATTTATAAAAATTCGACAAAGTTTAACAAATTTTAATCAAAATTTGAAACTTATTAATTTTATAAGTACGCGGTTTTATAGCCCATTAAATTTTAGTGTAATAAAGTGAAAGTTTGAAAGAGCTTAAATGTCGTTCTCTATTGTTCCCAAAAACACTTAAAAACTCACAGCAAAATGAGAACAAAATCTTGGGGAGTGTTTTTACAAGAGGGAAAGTGAGAACAAAACTGTGGACAACGTTCTCAACGGGAATTATACAAGAACAAAATCCCGAGGAAAGCTCGCAAACAATACTTTCGCGAAAATTTTTAATAGAACAAATTGGGAACAAAATTCTCCGGAAAGTTTCGGCAGAGAACAAGGCGGGAACAATAACTTTCGAAGAACAATTTCACAACTAAAGTCTCAGAAATGTTCAGGCAGAGAACGAAACGAGAACAAACCATCTCTGAAGCATTCGCGAAAAATGCAAGCGAAAACAAAATTTTTCTCTTGTCGTTCCATTAGTTTAAAATGTTTGAATATTAAAATTAATTAAAAAAGAACGTAAAGATAACTATACAAATTAAGTCAACGAAAGATCTAAGACACGAACTTTTCTTGCACAGAAAATTAAAAACTGTTCCATAAATGAACAGTTCACCCTAATGATAAACGATATAGAAGTAGAAATGATCCAGTTTTCCTCTGGCTTAGAATTAAAAATCATGGTTCTCACTGCAACGATTTTTCATCCCAACACGCAGACGCTCCTCTCATTCTTAACTTTAGGTTCTCAAAACTTTTGTTTTCGTTTTGTTCCATAGCAGAACGTTCCCCAGACTTTTGTTCTTATTTGATCCTATTTGAACACGTTCTAGGTGTTCTCGTTCTTATTTCGTACTCAATGGAAACATTCCCGAAAGTTGCGTTCTCATTCTGTTCTTTTTGAGAATATTCCCGAGAGTTTTGTCCTCGTTTTGCTGCCGTTCAAACTGCTCTTTATACTCTTTTTTCCGTTTGGTTCTATTGCGAGAACGTTCTTGATATTACATTTTGTTCTCGTGCAAAACTAAACCAAAACCTTGGCGCGTTCTCGGTTCCTGGCACAAAGTGTGTTCCATAATTTTTTTTTGTGTTGAGAAAATGAGGAGCATCTTCCTAATTTATCTCGTTCCATAAAAAAAATTGCCAAAAATCAAAGCTAAGTCCAGGCAACTTCAAACTTGCACCGTGCATACTTAGAGTATTTCTATCTAATTAAAAAGCTCAAAATTTTCAGGGAGCTTTGTTTTCAAATTTTTGTACACAGTTAAAAATTTTGACTTACATGGTTTTTGTAAGATAAATACAGCTACACTTTCATAAAAAATAAAGAAATAGCAAAAAATGTAAATATCTCTTCCCTATTTATATTTTCACCACTGCATATCAAGATCTTTTTACTCGATTTTTCAAAAGTTAATTTGTCGCTTGTGCTCTAAATTGATTGCTAAATATCTTGCTGCAACATTAAAAGTTATGTGCGCTAAAAAATCATGTTAATTTTTTGTTCTTGCTTTTGTTCGCAAAGCACAAATGACTGTGCGCAATACACAGGTGAAATAAATTAATGTGACATATAAAAATCTAACAAGTTTGTATGGCACAGAATAGTCATTAGCGTGCATTTTTTAAGTATGAAATAATCTTTGGTCTCTAGAAAAAAATTTATATATAAAAAAAGGAGAAGACATAATTTATTACCTTTTGGTATGGTTGTCACATAGTAATAGTATGACTCGGACTTGGATTTGAACAAATCGGAAACATAAAAGTTGCCAGTATGCTCCTGGCAGGTATCGTTGCGACCCTCACAAACGCCACATCTGTCTGTAAAAAGTAGGAAAAATTTGCGATTTAATAAATGTGCAAAAAAAAATTTAGAAAATAAAAATTAAACTGTGCGACAATTTTATGACAATTAAAACCAGCCCAGCTTTCAGAAAATGTTGACAAAGTCCGGGCTGGTTTCGGCTATTGCACAGTGTTATCTAAGCACACAAAATGTGTACAAAAAATTAAATTATTTTATTAGACGTACATATATAAATTATAAAGCGCTAAATCAGCGGCCACACAAAATATCAACACGTTGATATTTTTTTTTTATATTCAAATTTGCAAATAATTTTCGAAGCCACCCCGCATTATCGTGTGAATGATGTGATGGCTGAATCATAATTTTTTTTTTTTCATTAGCTCTACGCTAGAATTGAGGGACTCGTCATCATAGTACGTTGCCACATCACCTTGACTGTCCANATATTCAAATTTGCAAATAATTTTCGAAGCCTTGTCGTGTGAATGATGTGATGGCTGAATCATAATTTTTTTTTTTTCATTAGCTCTACGCTAGCATTGAGGGACTCGTCATCATAGTACGTTGCCACATCACCTTGACTGTCCATCATCGGCACTATGTCGCTGCTAGTCCAGCTGTGCCGGCACTATGCGCATTTATCTGACCACGCCAATGGACATATAAATATTTTATTTATAAATATTCTTTCATTTTGTTTATATATAGATCCATATTTCATGGCCGGCGTTTGTTTAAAAATACACTTTTTGTTTAATAAATCACCGCATTTTCACGCACAGCCATTTCCGTCTATCGAAGCCATACCAACATTTACTTATTTTCTTATGTCTAATAGATAATTTCAATATTTGCCAATTTTACCTAATTTCGCCAGCGAATTCAATTCATTGTCACAACCTGCCGGCCGGCAAATGCCATTGACACACTTGTCAAAACTGTCGAATGAACATGTGGTGCCGTCTTTCACCTTATCCGAGAGTTTAAAATACGCGCTGTTGTCTTCCAAGCGGCAAAACAATTTGCATTTGTCCGCCGAGGACACTGGCAAAGGAAAAGGAAGAGGGAGAAGAAAAAAATTAAAAAAAAAAACTAAATAAAAAAATTTACCATAACATACTTATTGTTATCACTAAAATTATCCACTTACATCCATACTTGGGTATCCATTTGGCCGAACGTGCAATACCCTTGCTGGAGAAATTTCTGCCATTCATTTCGTAGCACTGCTGCTCACGCGAATCCATTGTGCCCGGCGGACACGCATGCGTATTGCACGAGCGATATTTCTTACGACTGCCTGCACAATATTTACCACCATTCTTCGGCAATGGATTGTTGCATTCCCGCTGTGATTCCTGTACGCCACCACCACAAGTCAAACTGCACGGTGTGAAAGCGCTCCATGCACCCCAGCCGCCGTGTATGGCCTGCAGCGATTTACCCTCACGCGGCACACATTCGCCCTTCTGACACCAGTGGCGGTCGTTGTTGCACGGAGTGCCATCAGCCCAGGGCAGATTGCTGCTGCGACAATCACTGCTGCTACTATCCGTTTTGCACCACAAACGCTTGCATTCGCCATCGATGCGACAATAGCGCGATTGATTGCCATGAATTAGCTGGCATTGATGGTTGAGCGAGTAGATCTCACCGGGCAACTTGGTGTTGAAGTTCTTAATGTAGAATGTTGGCGTATCTTCGAGGCAGGATTTGTCTTCTTTTCTGTGGGGCGAGGGGAGAGTGGAGTAAGCAAGAGGGAGAAAGTGTGAATAAATACAAGGAAGAAGGAAAACATCTTCGGGTCTGTGCTAAATACAAATTAGGCTTTAATTTAATTGCCTTTTCTTGAGTACTTACTCTAAAAATTCCGAGACATAATTGCGCGAACAATCCGACCACGACCACGGATGAATGTCGCTGCCCATAATACTCGACATAATATGCATTTTATTTTTAGTGCCCGGACGATTGAAAGGTTTGCATAGATCATCGTCATCATGTGGCATATTTAACCTGAATAGAAGATATAATGAATGTGGGCTTAAAGCTTTTGCCTGAGGAGACCCCTAGTAAAATTTTTCGAAGAATAATTTTCTAGAATATATCAATCCTATAACAAACTACCAAATTTGCTTTTCCGGGGATTTTTTGGAGTAAGGATCAAAACGACCTTCTCAGGCGGGAGTTAATGGGTTAAAATGTTCTACGAAAATATATCCCATGCAATATTGCTATTTTTGTTTTAACCTTTAATTTCGCATTGACATTTATTTTAATCATTTTTTCCACTTTTTTCAAACTACTTAGTTTTTAAAAATAGGAAATCACAAGGCTGGTTGCACTAAATGTCCTTATGGTTTCCTCACGATGGTGAATGGTGTTTTGTTTTAATATTTACAATGTTTTCAAACAAAATTTTTTTTTATAAAAATATGGTTCATGCTTTAACCAAAACCATATATGTACATATTTGTTGAATTTTGCATTTTCTCTCTGTATTTTCTAAGCTCTGTATAAAGTTTGAAAGGTTGATTTATATAATTTTGGGTCAAGCATGAACCCTATTTTTATGAAAAAATAACAAAAAAATTGTAACTTTAAAAACTTGCAAATATTTAGCAAAAATCACCATGTACTCATTTCTGCTCGCCACTGTACATATTCAAAAAAAAAAAATATTAAAAATCGCTTATTTTACTAAATTTTGTATAAATCCTGATTAAAAATTCTGTATAAAAATTAATTGAATTCTTGTGAGTCCTATATAAAGTCTGAAAGTTTGATTTACATGGTTTTGGTTAAAACACGAACCATATTTTTATAAGAAAAAAAATGTTGTTTGATATCATTGTAGATATTAAAAACAAAATACCATTCATCCAGTTTTGACCACCACTGTATATTAATACGCTACTTTCAGCAAGATTTCGAGTTTAAAAAGAATTTAAATAAGAAAACCAAAATTTAAAACTAACTAATTCAACTTACACATGCCCCAACTCGTGCGCAATGGTAAAAGCGGCTGGCAATCCATTATCCTGTACTATGGAACACGATCGACGCTTGCAGACAGTGCCCAGTTCTGCCAGACCCAAAGTGTCGCAGCGCTCTCCTTCATTGCCGCAAATTTGATCGCTGCAAATAGAATTAAAAAAAAAAAATGTTTTGATGTCTTAAACTCATTTTTTATTATAAAGTCTTTTGCATATTTCATATATGTAATATAAGTGGTTATTTTTCAAAGAATGCGGCTCACCGTGTAATGAGCATTGCTGTATCATAGTGGTAACCCTGCTTCGAAAAAATATTACAAAATTCCTTCAACATTTCAGACGCTGACTTGGCTGAAAAGAGTAAAAATAAAATATGCAAAAATAAATTTTAAAGAAATTGTAAAACCTCACAAGTGATTATCAATATTGGGAGCTACTGGGTCACAAAATACCACTACCACCACACAAACAAATACATAAATACGCACCTTTTCTGCGATCGTCACGCAGAATCAATATATTCGCCACAGAAATATAAATCGAATTGCCAATACTGGCATCAGCAAATATATTCGAAACAATCGATATTAGCGTAAGTATGTACGATTTCAAATCGGCACCGTGAAATTCACTCATCGTTTTATCGACAGCCACCAGCACTTCCATGGTGAAGACATGACGGTCGACGTAGTTGCGTTTCTTGCGATGCAGCTTTGTGAATAAACTCTCTTCGAGCTCCAGCAATTCCATGCCCAATGAATCGGCGGCGACTGCGTGTCTGGCATTGCGGCGCGAATGACGCCACACTTTGTGCAACACCTCCGAATCGCCATCGCCCGTTTGATTGACCGGTTGTATGAGCAGTGAGCCAAAACTTGTTTTAATGTAACCAGTCTGCGTGGGCGAGAGAGAGAGAGAGAGAGAGAGAGGTGGAGAAGGGTGTAGAGTTAGTATTTATTTTAGATGCATGTGTGTGCGTGTATGTGTTAAAATATGTGATTAAAAAGATAAACAAATACTTTTTTTAGGTGAATATAAATATGTAGATGTTCCTAACAAAGCTGGGCGTGTATGCAATAAATAGTTAGAGTTANTATAAACAAATACTTTTTTTAGGTGAATATAAATAGATGTTCCTAACAAAGCTGGGCGTGTATGCAATAAATAGTTAGAGTTAAATGTTTCGATGTGGGCAAATAAAAAAAATAGATTAAATATTTTTTTTTAATCAGTGGGGTTTGTCGGTTAGTTAGAGCTGTAAATAACCTTTAGAATAAGGTAAGGCTAGTGTCTTAAGCGAGTAGACTCGGCTAAGTGTCTATGGGATGCAAGTGGGCATAGGGGTATATGGGAGACACAGCTCTTACGGGCACCACTAACGTAGTCTAAAAATTCTGATTTGGCACAGTCGACAGAGTATTCGCCTAGCAAACCTGAACTCGCACGTTCGATTCTTATTAGACTACTTGTTTTAAGCGACTATAGTCTCTTTCAGGGCCATAAAATAGCACTCGAGTGGCATTTTCCTCGCCACTGATTCCGGCGTCTCTCCGGACTAGTTGCAGCGTACATACGTAACTATCATTTTCTCACCATCTTATGGCATTGGGTGTGATTTTTTTATTTATATGTATTTATCTGCTTGCATTCAAAGTTTTTTCTTTGTTTGCCCAGGGGACATGTGTGGGTCGCTTAGCACGATCGGTAGCTTGTAACGATCAGACAAACTTAGGTATGGCCGTATGTACGTACGTATGTACATATATAATCTTTTATTAACATTAACAAATGGTTGAAAGCAACTACATAAAAGTGATTTATTGCATATTGCAAATGCTTCTAATCAATGAATTTATGACCATCGGATGCTACTGTACAGAAAGCGCCAACTGCAGCTATCGGCACAAAAGCACACATTTACGAATATCAGCCTTATAGGGAATATTTTGGTTAAGGTAATCCAAAGAAAAAAAATTAATCACATGTGAATATAACACGCAAAGAAGATCATGCTCGAACAAGAATGAAATTTTACAAACGGCAGCAATAGAGTAAAAGAAATGCATATCTCGTTTTCACAAATTTTAAAGAATGACCTTGTTCTCGGCAATTGGATAAACGAGAACTCGTTCCACCACTGTTTTGGAGTGAACTAGTTACCTTAACCTTAATCATTTTTATTGAGGAGAGGCAGAACCGCTGCGTATATTTTTTAGCCGGCAGTTGGAGTGTCTTTCCGGACGAAGTTCTAAAAATGTCGACTTGTAGCGGAAACATCTTTTAAATGGACTTTTATTTATATTTTTGTTCCGGATCTACGTAAACGTAACGACATATCCCAAAATTATTGGAGAATAATTATGCTACAAAAACAACAACAACCTCATATTTGAATTGTATGAAAATTTCGGAAATAAAGTTTTTTTTTCATTAGGATCACGAACCTCAAATCAAATTCTTATTTTTTCATACCTTAATTTTTAATTGAAAAATTATATGTTTTATAACCCTTGGTCCGACTAAACTGTAAGTTTGCACATCACTGTCCTAAACTGGTTCCTGTGTATTATTTTCTACAGTGCCGCTACAAATACATGTGCTGTAAGCACGTTAGCCGCGTGGGCAGCGTGATGAATACAAAAAAAAAAATGTCCAACTATTTCCACTGCCGTATTCTACACTTCATTAATTGCATTGGTAGTTAAAAATAACTTAAATCTCTTTTCATTTTTCATTGCGAAATGAAATAATTTACCATGCCATTGCAGAGTGACACGGACACCGTTGACTGTTTATCGCCTTGCACTTCGCCTTTGTAAAAACAGCCCAGTGAATGGGCGTTGGCTTCGTCTTCATCCTCTTCCTCTTCGGTTCTATTATTAAGTATACGAATTACCTGTAACGAAATTAAATAAAAAATATGAATTTTAGAAATACATGCAGTATAATTTTTGATATCATCAGTAGGGCTTTCAGCAATGATTTGGACTACCACTCTGCAAATTTTCAACTTTTCAATATATACCAAAGAAAATCTTTAAAATTAATGTTGTAACGAACAAAAAGCGTCGACAAGTTTTTTTTTAGTTTTACTGAAAAATTAGGTGCAAAGTATTTATGGAAAGTAATTTTTGAGGTTTTAATACGTTACCTACATATGAGTATTTATAAGATAATTTTTTTCTTCTTTGTTTTGTGACTGGCCCAAACATATTGTCACGATTTCTTATATTTATATTTGTTACAAATAAACAATTTTCAGCTTACTTACACTAAATGTTTGCTTTGGTATGAATGATGAATCCTGATGTAAAACCAAATGCAATTCATGCCCAAAAGCGGTCATTATATATTGGGGATGCGGATCCCATATTTGACTAGATTTACTACGAAATGTGCCCGTTTCATCGAATGCGGAATATAAATCTGAAATTTGTAGAAAAATAAATATACAGTGAAGTGGTATGAAGTAAATACTAAATCCAAATTAATATATATAGTTTAGAATATTTAGTTAAGTTTTTTCTATGTCACCTGCGATATTGTGTATGTGTATCAATTCCATTTTCGATTTACCTTTCGGTTCACTAATTTTATTGCGATTCGACTCATAGAGCATATCATCTTCGCTTAATGTGGAATTATGCACCTTTCGTGGCGTAACAAAGTCACTGGTGAAATCATCGGGAATGCTATTATTGATGTCGCCAATGTCATCTTTGATATCCTCTGGAAAAAAATAAGATATTGGTTAGTAGTTAGATTTTATTGTAACCTTATGGAATTTTAATTATTATATTAGTAGAGCTATACATATTTTGTGGTACGTCCAGGGGAGACTTTGCTAAAGCACAGAGAACAATACAGTTAGTCGATTCAGGGCGAGACTAAAAACTTCCTACAATGAACTTGTTTCGCCAACTTCTCACAAAAAACACATTTGGCAGTAAAAAAGTTGTATGTGAATCCCACGCATGGCTGAAGTGAAGCTTCTTCTTTCTTTGCCCCGTATAGTTCCCAATATGAGTATTTTTCTGCATTCTAAATCCAAATCTCAATTTTAATTCTAATCTGAATACTATCCTAGTCTCTATATCAATCTAATCTTCATTTTAATCTTAATCATAATCTTAGTCTTAATCTTAATCTTAATTTTAATCTTACCCTCAGTCTTAGTCTTAGTTTTAATTTTATTCTTAATCATTCCCTCCCCTCTCTTCTCCTGGTTCTGTTTCGTTCCATTGGAGTTTGCAATTAAAGACCAACGAACGTGTAGCCTTTTCGTTCCATAGACGTTTCATTTCAAAAATCTCAAGCAAATCATTAAATTTTTTTTTTAAGCTAATACCGAATTTTCACGAGGCATTGAAAAAAATATTTGCCATTAAAAAGGGCTTGTTAAATGAGACTAAATACCTTTTTTGTATAAGACTTTTGTATTTTTTAATACCAAACTTTTTTAGCCCTTAATGCCCACTGGAAATCCCTTGTAACAATATTTTAATTCTTGATTTAACTCTTCGTTGTCACCTAAGTAGATACGTACCTTCTTCGGGCCACTGCTCATCGCCTATAAATGAATGATTTATGAATATCGTTGGGATGTCTGGCGAATCGACTACAGGTGGAAAGCCTGTACTACTTGTCCACGTAACCGACTGGTTCAAAATGCTGCTAGGTATGTGTGTAGTGTGGCCAACTCCTTTGCTACTATTGCTGCTGCTACCAGGCTGACACCAAATAATCAAACCCAATAGAAGGCCGAAGAGCAGCACACAGCATATAAGAAATGCATTTTGCTTCCAATGTGTGGACATATTGTGGCATTTATTTTTATAAAACCACCACTCGCAAGTTTTCTTGATAACAAGCTGGAAAGAGAGGAAAATATAAGTAAAAAGTTGGAGTATTTTTTTACGAAAATATATTTCAATTAATAGAAAAGAATTAATATGATTACTTTTCAAAAAAAAAGTGAAAAATTTCTGTTAATTTTTATTATTATGGAGCAATAAATAATACAACATACGTAGACAAATGATGTTGAGCTTATATTTAAAATAGAAAGGAAGTGAAAAAATAATAATTTAAATAATAATTTTAGTATACGACTACTGCCCTGCTTTTCACGCATGAATAAGTCAAATATTTCCAGGTCAATGCAAACTGTCTTGCATTCTTAAACATTGGCATACATACATACATATGTATGTGCATATATAGTTACCCTTCATATGTATTCTTAATACAAATATGATAAAACATAAACAGTTGAAAATGTCGGTACGTGTCCGCTCCGCCCAATCCATTCGCAGGCACAAGGGCTCGCACATCCGCACTTAAATGTATTGTAGACATGTAGTCTCACACGTTCATCCGAACTGTCTACGAAAAGCAAAGCTTCCAACTGCCTGACTTTGCCACGGTACTTCAATTATGTCTACACATACAAAACCAACATAATTATATACATATGTACTTATGTAGATATGTAGTATACAAAGTATTTTAGCACACACACGCATGTATGTATGTGTCTTGCGTGTGGCCCTTAAATTAAAATTTATTCGAAATATTCAGAATTCTTTCTTCTACAAGCTGGTAATTTTCAACACCTCAGCACGTTTCTGGGGTGCGCACGCGCAAACAAACTAAACGTAAAATTAAAAACAAAAAACGCCTTAATCTAAATTTTCACATTTAGCTTCAGTGTTATAATGGAAGAGGCGTAAACTAGAGGTCTGCATGAGTCCATTCAAACCAGCAAATGATAATTTTCTTTTGTTGGTTCTTGGTTCGGAGACAAATCGGTTCCGGCAAATGGATGATTCATATTAAAAATATATGCATTAGTTTAGTTTTAAACTTTATTGAATTTGAATGAATAACTGAGCTGTCGTGACTTTCGTTGATTCCTTGCGATGGTATTGGATGAGTGTGAGAAATATGTATATCTGTGGTCGTAAGCCATAACAGCCAAAAACCGGGTTTTAGTAGTTTAACCAAAATATTTTTTTTATCACGCCTAATGGGAATATTGCCAGTGAGTTGCTGACACCAAAATTAATACTTTTCGGTTCGTTTTCTAATAGTTTTCAATGGCCAGTACGCCATTGGCAATCCCAGGCTAGAAATGGATTATTATACTAATTAATTAAAAAAATTATGAAAAAAAATCCATAGCGTAAATTTTACGAGAACAATTCTTTTTTTTTCGTTTTTCATAGTATTACCGCGTATTACTAGAGGTAGCTTCGGAATTACATAAGTCTTTCTGACTTACCTATTCGTTGGATAAGCATGTGTGGGTTTTCCCTTAAGTAACTGATTAGCAATTTGGGTAGGTATTAGGTACTACGGTACCAAAAATAAATAATAAAAAAATTCCATCACATAAATTTTACGAGAAAACTCTTTTTTTTTAATTTTGCATAGTGTTACTGGCTGTTACTAGCGGTCTCTTTAATTTACACAAGACTTTCTGATTTAGTTAGCCTTTTAAGGTGTGATTTTCAAGTAAAAATTTAATTTTAAATTCGTTAATTTTTGGTTTTTCGTTAAAAATTGTAATATAGGCACGTAATGAGGTCTCACATTACTCGGGCCTGTGTGCCTTTCCCCTTAAATAACTAACTAGCAATTTGGGTAGTTATAGGTATTACGCTACCAAAAAATAATAAAGAAATTCCATTACGTAAATTTATCGAGAAAATTATTCCATCACTTTCTTAGTATTACCGCGTATTACTAGCGTAAACTTTTAAAGTACAAAATTACATATGTAATTTTAAATTAACTAATCTTTGCCTTTTCATGAAAATTGCTGCAATAAAAAAAATCTCGACATGCTTGAAAAAAATCCAAAGATGTAGAGATTAAACAAAATCCACATAATTATTGGACGGTGGAAAAAAGTTAAATCCCGCAGGCCTGCGTCATTGAATGACATCATTTTAATTGACTTCCGCACTCAGGAATTGAACTTGTTAAGTTTTTTTTTTGTTGTTTTTTTTTTTGACATCCGGTTCTCGGCCCATTCTCGTATATTTTTTTGCATCGAATATTAAAACGGTATTAATTTATATTAGTAGTTTCGCTGAAAATTTCAACAAACCCATGCAGTGCTCTGACGTACGTAAGCTGTCTTTGTTGGTTTATAAAATTCCTTGATTTTGATTGCTTCATTTTTTGCACTTCTTTACAAAATGTTCTGCTTTTGTTTTTCTTTCGATTCGTTCTCATAATTTAGTATGTATATATGTATGTCAGATTGACTGGCCTTATTTGATATTTTGTTGTTTTTAGTGATTTTAATTAAGCGGTTTTTAATCGAATTAATAATGTATAGCACATCTTTTTCGCTAAATTAGCAATTTGGCAGACAGTTGGACGAAATGAAGAATTTCCTAATGAAAAATTAAGTAGTGGGTATACATACCTACATATATGTATATATGGAGTCCTTAGCAAAAAATGTGCGATCAACAATCTCTATACATTGTAGTAGGCCCGGATTAGTATTTAGGGCGCACAATTCAGTGCTAAGTTTTCTAGACTAACCTCAACTGAAGATTGGTAGTAGATAACGTGTTTACCAACAAGCCCGAGCTACCAATTCTTATTTTCCCAAGTACGGAAATATTCCCCGATGACGTATCTCGTCCAAGCTTGTTCTTAGAGTTTGTACATAAGGGCGATCCAAAAATGCATGAGAAAAAGTAAAAATCCGAATTTGTATGCTCTCACCCCCAAGGATTGGTCTATGCCGAAAAAATATACCTCTATTTTTTTATTTTTGAATCAAAAAAATTTAGAGGTCGCTCAAAGCGCTCAAAGTTTTCCATGTATTTTACATGGGCGAAAAAACAACTTTTCGTAGAAATGGTATAGAATTCTTAAAACTCAATATTTTTCAATCGGAAAACTCTGCTCATGGTCATTCAAACGCTGAACATGGCAAATTGTTCATACATTTTTGGGAATTCAATGCTTAGTCATACAAAAGCTGAGCATAAATTTTTGGTCGTACAAAAACTAGACATAAATTTTTGGTAAATTAATTCAACATGGTTTTTTTTCGTCACTCAAAATCGAACATAAATTGTTGGTTATTCAACAGCTGAGCATAAATTTTTGGTCTTACAAAAACTAGACATACATTATCGGTCATTTAAATATTAGACACCCCTTTTTTTTGTAATTTGAAAGCCTAGCACAATTTTTTAATAATTGTAAAACAGCACTGAAGTTTTGGTTATTAAGAAACTGGACATAAATTTATTTTTGGCAATGAAAAACGGGACATAAATTTCTGGCCATTTTAGTTACCAAAAATGTATGCCTAGTTTAAACTTTGGGTAACTATTAAACTGTAGATAAATTTTTGGTGATTTGAAGACTGAACATTTTTAGACATTAAAAAACATGGCATAACATGTTCGGAAAATTTGTTTAGAGTTACACGTGGAATCCTCCTATGCTATACGCATATTTTCAAAAATAATTGGCCCGCCCTAATGCACATACATACTTACTGTCCACTTACAGTTTTTTGTCCATTTTTTACCATTAAATTTACCAAAAATTTTAGTGTTAACACCCGATTTGAAGGGGTTGGATGTAAATCGGAAATTAACGAGATATATTTTTATGTTTTTTAAAGTGCATATCGAGCCCTAACCGCCAAAATAACGTAAGCGACATTTTTTTCAAAATTTTATTTTTGATGCAGAACTAATCCTTGAGCATCTACATGCAATTCTGCATCAAAAAGAAAATTTTGAAGAAAATGTCGTTTACGTTATTTTTGCGGTTAGGGCTCAATATATTCAGTAAATAAATTATTTAATTTCCTGAACATTAAAGATCATTACATAGGAGGTAAATTAGAATTAAAAAATGTTAATTCCGCTGCTTACAGTCTCAGCGGAAATTAACCTAATCAGGAAATTAAGACAAATAATAATATACCTAATAAAAATATATATATTTAGAAAAATATGTATATTTAAAAAAAATATATATATTTTAACTCTAAATTAGGTAGAACCTACTACACTGTACCGATCCCTAAGGCTCAACAAAAGTATGCCAGCAGCCCAATTTGCTTGCTGTATGACAGTTACTTAATTAGATAAGTGAGAGGGGAAAACCAATAAAAATTTTGATTGAAATTTATGAAGTATGCGACAGGCGCAACAGGTTTGTCTAAACATAGCACGCGCTGCTACAGCTGCTAACTGACAGTGTCAGCCTAATAAGAAAACCCAATAACCATCTGCACGCGCGGGAAGAGATTGCGCAGAGCGGGCGTAGACGATCGTCAAGTCTATAAGCCTGCTGGGCAATCCAGAGACAGCTTTATAAGCCAGTCTAGCTAATCAGTAGCTCGAACTAAACTACCTTGAAGGGTTTTAGTTTGTAAAAATGTAAGCTTATATACATAAATACATACATAATTAGTGATTGAAGTAACATCTTGTAACACTTTAAAATTTTTTTTTTTTTATGTTAATAAATCTTTGTTTAATTAGCCAAAATGTTTGCTTGAGGTTACATGTATTTATTATTAAGAATTTTATTGTTGCATCGTTAATGATTTCGCTGCTGGGGTTTATTGAGTTGCTGTGAAATCCAAAAGGCTTTAAATTGCTATTGAAAACCAGTTTTTTAACGATTGAAAAATGGATTAAGAAACAAATTAAAAAAAAAGCATAAAAAAATACGAAATACCAACTTGAAATAACTGGACACCTGCTTTTTGTGCGCACAGTGGACTTGTGTATTTTAACACTTTTACGACTATATTTATTTATGTATGCGATTTTTTCTTTTAAGAATTCTAGCGTTATTTATTTTGTTATTTTTTATGTATGTATTTCTTATGTTTGTTTATCTTTTTATGTATTTGTTTTACTGTTTGCTTTAGTTGAAATAATGCCGCAGCCATGCCAGTAGCAGCGACGACGACATGCAGTCTGTTAGTTGAGTATGAATTCCAAGAAAAAAATTGTAAATGTTCGCAAAAAAGGCTCGTAGATATTGGAAGCAGGGATAAAAAAGTAGGTACAATTGTACCTTTTTCCGACGTTTGATGACTTAAAGGTACATCAGGTACAGCCACTAGATTTTAGGTACAATCATCTTTTGATCAGATGCATTTTTAGTTTTTTTTTCTTTTTCCTTTACAGTGCTAATATATTTACTTGTAGGCACGGGAGAAGCTTCGCTTTCATTTTGAAGAATAAACAATTCTAAAGAAAAGTGGTCAAAAGGAAGAATTAAAACAAGTCATATTATGTATTATCTTAAACATCTTACACTGTTTTTAGAGCAGCTACTACGAAAAATTAACACTTTACTTAGCTATCCTCAAATTCGTAATTTTTTTCTATTAATCTTAACGCTTATTTTCACTAAGTCAAATTCAATGGCATTTGCGGTCAAATAAGTGAAAACAAATTGTCAAATGAGACTAAAAAATGGTCTTTTTATTGATTTAGATCATAATAGGCCTTCAGGCGTGTACACGCGCTGTTAAAGTGGCTATTTGTAAGTTTTTGGCCCATAATATCATCGGTAAAAGTAGGGATAAAGGAAAGAAAGTTGTGTCAAAATATGTCAAAAAATTTTGTTGTTAAAATATCACGTAAAGAAAACCAGCCTTTATTCGCCCATACAGTTAGGGATGCAACATCGCTCTTAAAAACATCGATGTTCCCGCAACAAACATCGAACTTTTTTATCTGAATTTTTAGAAAAAGCCGTTAAAATTGCCTTGATTTTTAACCTTTTATATATGAAAAAAACGCAAAAGCCGCCAAAAAAATCATTAAAAATCAAAGCGATTTTTAGCCGCTTAAAACTTGCGCCTGTTTTATTATTATGATGTATCTTAAATATGTAAATCTTATATATTTAAATATGAATAAACATTTTGAAATTAGTTCAGATAACAAGCTTTGATAATCTAGCCCCCAAAAGCCTGCTTCTATCCTGAATGATGGTTGCACCAGCTTCCGAAAACGAGCGCTCGCTTGCCACTGGTCGTTCGGCACAATACGAACGGAGTGAGTGAACGATGTCGATGT